ATGTGCTAAATATAGAGGACAGGTACAGTTTGCTGGGATGTAATGACAAATAAAGGTATTTATTGCTGACATTGATAAAAATGTTGGTAGACCTAGTTCCACAAAAAAAAATCCATAATGATCACAGAAATAACTAGACACTGACAGAAGTAATAAATAAATGATATGAAAATGAGCAAATTAAAGTCAGACTTTGATTTTTAACCATACTTAAACAGAATGATAAAAAAAATATATATGTACCAATGAAACAAGCCTAGAAAAAAATGATGGTACCCTTAGAAATTATTGAAGATAATGTGACAAAAGGGACATGATAAATCAAGGTGTGTCCACTAATTAGCATCACAGCTGTCTACAATCTTTCAGCGAGCCTATACTGTATATAGTGTTTCAGGAAGTCACCGTGCTGTTTGGTGACCTGGTGTGTACCACACTCAACATGAACCACAGAAAGCAAAGGAAAGAGTTCAGAAAGAAAATTATACACAAACACGTTAAAGGTAAAGGCTATTGATGTTCCTGTGACTGCAGTTACACATATTATTTAGAAATGTAAGATCCATGGGACTGCAGTCAACCTCCCTGGACGTGGCTACAGGAGAAAAATTGATGACAAATCATACAGATGGATAATATAAAGTGTAGGAAAACAGCCTAGAAAAACTTCAAATTGAGGTGAAGGTTAAGGTGAACTTTTAGCTCAAAGAACATCGGTGTCATATTGCACCATTTTATCGTTCTTTGAACATTTTCCAAATAACGTGTTGATAAACTGCAAAGCTCCTGGGAGAATGTCCTACAGATAGGTGAAACAAACATTGAACATTTTACAAAGGCAAACCAGCTCTATGTTCATGGACAGAAAAATTAAACAGATCAAGAAAAGATCACTCTATCTACTGGGATACATAGAGGAGGCTCTGCTATGTTGTCGGGCTGCTTTGCTTCATCTGGTGTGTTGAATCCCTGCAGGGTCCAATGAAATCCCGACTATCAAGGGATTCTAGACAGAAATGTGCTGCCCAGTGTCAGAAAGCTTGGTTTTAGTCAAAGGTCATGGTTCTTCAACAGTAAAATGAACAAAAACGCACATCTGAAAACTCTTCTGCAGTGACCTTCCATGAACCCTGACCTAAATCCTATTCAGCAATGTAGCAATGTCAGTGTAGTTGGGCCAAATGTTGGGCCAAATGTTCAATCATCGCATAACCGTGAGATTACTGTGGAAGAGGGATTGCTGTAAAGTCACACCACTATGCAATGGCTGAGATCTCTTTAACAAATGACTTCATCCATCAATGATTCATTGACTTTGACAGCATCGTTTTATTAGAAATTCTGAACTGACCTTTATACACCACAATCAGAGTTACAGTAAATGACTAGAATAATGGAGTTAATGTGAACTAAAATCTGGTGCTGATGTTAGAAATGGAAGACAGACAAAAAAATCACAACATAGAAGGTTTAAATGAGCACTAGAGAGACAGAGAGAGAGAGAGAGAGAGAGAGAGAGAGAGAGAGAGAGAGAGAGAGAGAGAGAGATTTAAAAGAAACTACACTTGTAATAGAAAATCATCAAACATGTCAAAAGTAATTTGTCATATAAATTTATCTCCAACTATAATGGCCCTGCTGAGGGGTCTGAGTGCCTCAGTATCAATGATCTCATCTTATCATCCATCATTACTGCTGACTATAATAACTGATTAAAGTGTTAAAATCTAAACTAGTTGTCATAGATTCATTACATTTTCCCTCTGCTTATACATACAGCAGAGGCCGATCACTTTAACTTAGAACTCAGGGGTTTTGGGGTGTTTGGCTGTATTATCCAGTATGGGAATTCGGCTTGGTATGGAAATTTCTCTGTCCAGTTAAAAGCAAAGCTTGGGCTGGTGAAGACAGTCATTAAGGAATTAAGGAGGACAGAAAACTCTTTCCTGCAGACAATGTATAAACAGAAGGTTCTTAGACAAGCACAGCGAGCTTTGATGGACCCCTCCCACATGCTGTAGCCAGAGTACAAACTACTACCATCTGTTAAACAATAGTTCCTAGATGTAGTCTGAATCAGCTCAAAAACTCATTTGTTCCCACATCAATTAGGGTCTGGGAAATGAGGGATTATGCATCAATGTTATGGTGTCTTCATTATTCATTGCTTTTTGTTATTTAATGTGTTGTCAGTATTCTTCTCACACACTCAGTTTTCTGCTGTGAAAACTGAGTGTGTGCAATATGATGTGTACTGGGGATATTTACAATATGTGAGTTATTTGATTAATGGTGACTCGTCAAATCTGGGCTCTACTGTCCGAACTTCCAGAAAACTGTAATAGTGCGGAAAGCCTGAGTTCTTTTAAATCAAGACTAAAACACATTTGTTTAGGATTGCCTTCGACTGTTCTGATTGAACAGTTCAACTGAAACATCATTACTTCAACTTTCTTATTTTCTTTAGTCCAACAGTTTTTAATGTTCTTTTTTGTTTCTGCATTTTTTTATTTCATTTATTTATTTATTTGCTTTTTCCTACTTGGTTTGATTCTGTTTTATTTTCCTGTATTTTAATTATGTAAAGCACTTTGCATTGTCTTTGTAGTGAATTGTGCTATAGAAATAAATTTGCCTTGCCTTTGCCTTGCCTTGCCTTGCCTTACTGATTTTGGTTTTTTATAGCTGTAGAGTTGATTAAACTAACTCACTGTAGCTTTGATTAAACCAAGAACAGAGTTTCCAATCTCAGTCTAGATCAATTCATAGTTAGATTCTGCATTACCTTGCTTTCTTTAAATGGGCCTCAGAATCTCTGACAAGTCGAATTTCTTAGCTAAACTCAGTCAGATAAAATGTCTCTTGAATGTTTTAATTCCTTTTTTTCATCAAATCATTAAGAAAAAGAAATAAGTGCAACTACTAATAAATTAGGTAAGTTATCATTTGGACTGGTTTTAAATTATTGTTATGTTTCATAAATAAATAAAACCTCCCCTTTTTTATTTATGAAATGTGAAATTCAGTCGATTTCGTTGAGAGTTCCTTTTCTGCTCATTTTTAACTTTCTTAACTCACCTTCAAACAAATCCCTTTCTCAACTTTTGATCTACGTCTAAATCAAGAGGTCCTGGACGGAATCAAAGGAAACATCCTTTCTGGGTCCCAGCGAGCTGCAACAGAACTCAGAGTCCTGTTCTGAGGCATTAAATCTCTGTTCAGCCTTTCTGTCTGACGCCTCCGTCAGTCTAAACTAAATCCCTACTTCCAGCTGACCCTGCTTGTCTCTATGGACCCCACGTCACTGGAATGGTTAAAGAACCGCCTGTTAATTAAGCTCCTCATTAACCTGAACAGACTCAGACAAAAGATTCTTCTTTTAATCCCATCTGCTGACGTCAGATTAATGTCTGTCATCTCTTCATGTTTTGCCTTTTATCAACTTTTCTTATTCTTCATGGAAAACGCATTGAGAGTTCAACGTCAAAAACCCAAAATCCTTTTGCCATGAATTAAAATCTGATCACAAAGCCATTTCTAAGGTTACAACCCCACAGAAGCACATTGAGACCCATTATCCAAGAGAGCATCAGCCATTCATCCATGAGGTCCCACAGGAACCAGAGAAAGCATTTAAAACACTCACATCAGTTAAGGTCGGAGTTCGTGATTCAACAGCATATTCAAGACAAAATGGCCAAATGACCTCTACGGTAGGCGTCTAAACGAGAACCAGAAAGAACTGGAAGGCCTGGTTCGTTTTAGGAACTGATGAGATCAAAGAGGACCCTTTAGAAAGTCTTTCATCTGGAAATGTCATCAAGCCAACAGTCAAACACGGTGGTCGTAATATTATGGTTTGGACCTCGGCTGACCTGCAGTTGTTGATGGAACTGTGGATTCTGTCATGCAGGACCTTGAGCTCAGGCATAAGACGTGCTGAAGAGCAGCAGGTCCCATTCAAGCTCAAATGAAACAAACTGAAGGTTTTAGGGTTAAAATTTGGACATCCTATTAAGCTGTGCTGGCAAAACATGAAACAAGCTGTGTATCCTGAAAAAGCTAATGTGATAGAAGCCTAAGAGTCCTGAAAAAAGGAGGAACATTTTTTTGCACTTTTTACTAAGGGTGTCCTAATGCAACGT